CTCTTGTGTAATACACTGCCTTTGAAAACCTGCTGGAGGGTCAGCAATCAGTCAGTTCCAACTCAGTGGTACACAAAAATAACAAAAAATGACACAGGAGGAGACCATCATGCCTTCAATACAGATTATATCTCCAATTCAAGAAGACAAAAATCCTCACCACTGTACCAAAAGACAACATTATGATAGATGGAAAAGAGATTGAAGTTGTCAAGGATTTTACTTAGATCCACAATTAATATCCATTGATAAGGAAATCAAAAGATGTGTTGCACTGGGAAAATCCATGATCAAGATCTTCTTTAATGTGCTAAAGAGAAAGGAAGTCAATTTATAGACTAAGGTGTGCCTGACCCAAACCATCATATTTCCCAATGTTTTTCATATATGTGAAAATTGGACAATGAATATGGAAAACCAGTGATGAATTGATGCTGCTGAACTATGGTGTCAAGTAAGAGCACTGAATATCCTATGGACTGCCAGGCAAGTCAGTCTTGGAAGGATACACAACCAGTTTGCTACGTAGAGGTAAGGATTGTGAAACTTCATCTCACATGTTTTGGGCATTTTTTTCAGGAGGGATCAGTCACTGGGAAAAGGCATGCTGGAAAAGGCAGAGGGTCAGCAAACAAAAGGAAGATGACCCCATCGAGATGGACTAACAGTGACTGCAACAATGAGCTTGAGCATGAAGAAGATCATGAGGATTGTGCAGGATAGAGAAAGATTTCAATCTGTAGTTTACAGGGTGAGCTGTAGCTGACTCGATGGCACATAACAGCAATAACAAAGATAACACAGACATAATAAAAGTAGAAGAGTCAAAAGGATTTCAAAGTGTGGCCCAAGAAAACAAACTATTTAAAATTAAATATGCAGAGACATGAATTTAGAAAACCTAAAGAGAAAAACGAGGGAGGTCTGGTGGCTTAGTAGTGAAGAGCTGGATTGCCACTCCAAAAGCATTTGGTTTGAATTCACCAGTTTCTCTGTGGAAAAAAGATGGGCAATCTCCCCCTATGTAATTAACTGCCTCTAAAAACCCTTTTATGAGTCACAAGCGACTCGACGGCACATAACAACAACAACAAAAACCCTCTGGAGGGTCAACTATGAGACGATGGTACACAATAACAATGATAACAAAGAGAAGAACATGCTCAGTATTTCTCAAGCTTACAGGAACTGAATAAAAAAGTCAAGCCTCAAGGTACGAGACTGCACGGTTCTATCTGCAAAGTATGGCATGACATGTTGTTATTGTTAAGTGCCCCTGATTTGTAGGTGACTCATAGGGACCCTATCAACGAAAGACCTGGACACCTGCATAACTTTTGTCCTTTCTCCAGGTTCATAGGGTTTCCAGAGGCATGCTATTACAAGCTTGTTTTAATCAGGGAGTTCCACCAAACTGTCTACCATGGGTAACCATTATCACATTGGATACATCAGTGTCACAGTGTTGAACTTCACAGTAACCACAAGTTACCTCTGTACAGCAAGTAGACATCTCAAAATAAAATGTAAAGAATATAGATACTTACAATATTTTTTCAAAAATGGCAAACATTCAGCCATTTCTGGAGGTAGCATATGAGCAAAAACCAGTAAGAAGACTAAAGGTAGTAAAATCCAAGTTGTACTGAAGGCACTGGGGAAAACCAAGCTACAGGAATTGAAACTACCAACTAACAATTATTATTTAATCTCCCATGCTCTCATAAATTAATTTGTTTTAAGAACATTAAAGGTAAAATGTAGTTTTTGTTTGTGTTGTTTAGGCAGAACCAACTCACAGACGACCCTCCAGTGGGTTTGCAGAGGCTATAAATCACATAGTAGGAGCCTGTCCATCTTTGTCCTTCAGAGCAAGTAGTGGGTGAATTCAAACTGTTTGCCTATGGGACGGGCAGCACAATTCCTTACCACCAGGCCACCAATGCTCCCTAATGGTCGGATCCAACAAACTTTTTCTTGTCACAATTCTGAACCAACATAACAGGAATTTTTCTGGGAAGTTTCTTTTAGATGGGATAAAATGTGGCACAAGTTAGAAGAGATAAGACTCGGTGCTATGAGACAAGACTCGGTGCTATGACAGGAACAGAACAAGCCCTCTCAACTCTGGTCACCGTGAGGAACCTCCTCAACACAGGGTGAGGCCAAGACATGGCAAGGCAGGCAAAGAACATGGAATTAAGAGGGCTCAAAGGAGACAAGAACCTTCCTCTAGACTGGCAGAATGAGAAAACCTTCCCTTAAAGCCAGCACCCTGAAGTCAGACTTCCAGCTTCCTAAACTGTACAGCTTCTGTTTGGTAAAACTATCCATTTGTGTTATCTGGTACAGCAGCACTAAGGAAGACAACTTCAACAAGAGGCCCTGATGGGCTCAAACACAGTCATGACTATGAAGACAGTGCAGGTCCACTCTGTTTTTATTGAAGAGGTCACTAGGAGTTGGATCAAATGGGTAGCTCTACCAATACATTCATAAAGGATGACAACTGAAGCAAAGAAAAACTTGAACAAGGAAGAAAATCAGGATGAAAAGTAAGGGATTAAGGAAATAGTTACTCCTGATGGAGGAGGATCAAAAAGCCCACAGACAGCAGTTACAAAGTAATCATATATAGTCAGTAGCTTTGTACATATTCCATCTATCCATCTGTATGTATTTCTCCAATGCATCCATTGCTTCCTATTGTCACTACTCTAGTACATATCCTTTATCAAGTTCTATTCAGAATTATTCAAACAGTCTCCAAACATATTTTGCTATTCCAGCCTATCAGCCCCTGATTAATGCTGCCTGCCATATATCTAGCTATAGACTCTTCCACATTTACACCACTATCCTCAACAAATGGAAGCATACTATACCTACTATTCTGCACTTCAGTTTTTTTTTGGGGGGGAGGGGTTATACGTTAATTTTTTAAGTGATCTTAAACAGCTTTTTAAAGTCATACACAGGTATCCACTTCTTTCTTTTCAAAGGCAACATAACTTGCAATTGTAAAGACATAATTCATTTAACCATTTCTCAACCCCTCAACACACCCCAAAAGGGATTCCTATCATTTCCAAGCTGTGTCATTACAAATCTGAGAATTAGATCATCAAATGTGAAAAGAAAATTGTTTGGGCTGTTTTACAGAAACATTCTTTAAAGAATAATATCAAGCTAAAATCTGAACAATACTAAGCTTTTCTATCCAAAAGCAAGGTATGCCTTTTCATTTATTTGTCTCCAAAGTTTTGATGTTTTCGTCATGTTATTATTGGTGGTGGTGCTGCTGCTGCTGTCAAGTGCAATTTACAGCAATCTTATGCACAACAGATCTGAACCCTGTCCTATCATGTGCTAACTTCACAATCTCTGATAAACGTTGAGCCCTCGGCTGTCATCACTGGGTCAATTCATCTGCTTGAAGGTCTTCCTTTGCTGTCCCTCCACCTTTCCAAGCACCAAGTCCTTCTCCAAGGAATGCCCTCTCCTAGCAAAACGCCCAAGGAACGGCAGATAAAACTTTTGTCATCCTTGCCTCCAAGGAGCAAACATCCTGGCTATGGTTTATCATACAGCTTGTACAGATAGATGTTTTGGTAATGATTAAAAATAGGATCTTTGCTTCTCTCATATGCTATAAGAAGGCTTGATTTTTATATAAGAAAGCTGTTGATTGTTACATATCAATTTTGTAATCAGCTTAAAACTCTTTTTTCTCTATATAAAAGTGATGTTTATCTTATTTTCTGGATTTTCAGGGGAAAATGTTTTATTTATTCATTTTCAATAATATATTCCTCATTTTTTTTCTTATACCTAACTGCACTGGATAAACATATATTAAAATGTTAATTATACTGGTATGATAATACTTTAATGAGAATGCTTTTAGTACTTAAATATTTAAGTATTCACCTATACAAGGGTTATAAAAACCTGGAATAGTTGTTGAATTTTATCAAATGTCTTTATTAAATGACTTTAAATTAAAAACAATGATCACATGAAAACTATAATATTATGGATCACATCCATAACTGTAATAGAAGTTATAACAATGGCATCTTCCTAAATAATTTCTTGTCTTTTCCAGAAAGGCATCATATTATTACGCATTTCCATCCTTTTACACATAATTTAGTCACATATACTTTTTCCTAATCCCTTACTATGCCCAGCAACAATAGCAAATTTCAACAGGGCAGCAAACAACAAATGCTGGCAAGGTTGTAGAGAGACTGGAATTCTGATTCACTGCTGGTAGGAGTGTAAAATGATATAGCCACATGGAAGGTGGTCTGGAGCTTTCTCAAAAAATTAGAAACAGAAATATCGTTTGATCCAGTAATTCTATCACTGGAAATAGATGTATGCACACCCCTATTTAATGCTGCATTATTCAAAATAGCAAAGAGATGGAAGCAACCTAAGTGCCCGGCAACAAATGAGTATATAGAAAAATTATGGTACACTCACATTCTGGAGTATTACACAGCACTGAAAACCAATGAACTTATAAATCATTACACAACATGAAACATGGGGAGCTTTGAGGACATTATGCTAAATGTCTCAGTCACAAAAGGACAAACACTGTATTACACCATTGTTATAAAATAGGACAGACATGGGGGTCTGGGGAGAGAATGGGAAAAGAGTAGGTAGATAATGAACACTATATTAGAACAGATGAGGGAAGAGCTGTCTGAAAGGAATATATGATTAGGCATTATATCTATGACAACAATCTTGAACAAAGGGTGCATTGTGGGGTGGGCTGGGGGAGAGGAAGGGAATGGAGGAGGAAGAAAATGTGCAACAATGGGAAAAAGTAATAAATATTTAAAAAAATAAAAAACACCAAATAAAAAACTTCCTAGGGGGAAAAAAAATTACTGGCTATGCTTTGTATCAGTGATTGATCTTTGATAAACTGTATTTGGTTGGTGAATTGTCAATATATGTCAAAAGCAATACTTCATTACCTTTGAACTATTAGTAAAAAAAAGATTTAAAAGTTTTTTCTGTAAGCTAAATAGATATAATTCTATTCTTATTTTATGATAAGTATATATTATATCCGTAACTTTTATCATCATTTCATTTTTAAATAATTTTTCATTTGCTTCTGTTAAAATTATTTCTTTAAAGTAAAATTTATTCCATTTTTTATTTTTTTCAAGCTCAGACACAATTAATAATATCTAGAAAATCCCATCAGACAAACATGCTATGTAAATATGGATGTCTAGGACATCACAGATGTGAGTATAATAAATAAGACTTTTAAAAAATAGAGGTATAATTATAGAGTATAATGACATGTGTTTAAGTAACTTGCATCAGAATTAGAGTATATAAACTGGAATACAGGCAATACAATTTGTTAATTCTGAGATCTTGCACACATTACTTTTTTTTTGTACACATTACTTAATGTCTCTGAGTCATTATAATAATTAGTAAAACAATGATAATAATACCTCACAGAATCAGTGGAAGTATTATAAAAAGTAATTCAAAAACAGCACTTTGGAAAATGCTGTAACTGGTTATAATTTTGGCAGTATTATGTAACTTTTTTATTGTATAAAGAAGTCCACAAATTATCTTTTGACAAAGAACAAACTGAAAATAAAACTTTTCTTTATCAAACATGTATGGTCTCTATATTTGCTGTCCTATTCTCAGATACTCTACAGACTAAGGACTTTGAGAATATGATTTTACCAATACCTCCTACTTTAATTAAAGGTTATATTAATAATGTTGGCCACAAATGCTTACCAACATAAAACTTCATTAGAACTTTGGCAAAAACTTCATTAGAACTTTAAAATAGTTTACATACCCTCAAGTCAGGGGAAAAGTTGTCTGCAGAAGTTGAAATGGAATCAGATGATATGACAGAAGCTGATTTTGTATGCACTGAATTCTCTGAATGAGACGTGGAAGCACTACAAAATACAAACACAGTGTTTTTAAAAATTAGAATATTTTATGACTAAGTTCAGAAATTACCTCTTATTAACTCATAACTCATAAAAACCCTTGCCAGAACCTATTCACAGGTGAACCTCCAGTAGTTTTCTTAAGTTGTAAATCACACAGGAGAAGACTGCCTGTCTTCCCACCTCAGAGCTGATGATGGATTTAAACCACCAGAATCAGCGATTAGGTTAATAATGCAACTCCTGTGGATTACACCACCAGAACTCCCTGCAAGTACCAAATCAGCATTCCACTTACTTATGTCTATTAGAAACCCACTGTATATTAAAACTCCCATCTGTCAACAATTTTATCTCTAAATAAGAAATTGCAAATTCTCTATTTCTGAGGTTAATATATTCTTACTGTGTTCCGTCTTGGAAAATGTCCTCAGTGCTCATGAACACACTCCTATCTAACTGCTTTCTAGTCTACAAAATGCTTTGAACTCCAACAAAGCATTACAAACCAGAATGAAATAGAAGCACTCTGCTGACCTAGCGGTAAGGAGCTGCACTGCCAACCCAAAGGCACACATTTTCTTTCTTTTTTTTATTAATTATTTATTTTTCATTTCCATGAACATCTATAGAGATTTTGGAATTCCATTCATTCATTGTTGCACCCTCCTCCCCACCAACCCCACCTCCACCCCTCCCCCGTTTGCTCCTCTCCTTGCCTCTCCTTGAAAAGCAAACGAAAAACTCCCTCACTGGTACACAATGCCCCCCCACCCCACACATCCCCCAACCCCACCCCCAAGCCCAGATATAATCCACTCTGCAACCCTCATTCCGTACTCTTATGATAAACATAATGCCCTAAAATATAATACTTTTAAAGTATTCTCTCCCCCATAGACTTCAATGCAGTAAACATAATTCATCCAGTTTTTCTCAGTCTTACCCACACCCCAATGCCAGCCTCATTCTACAACAGTGGCACCATATAGCATTTGTC